TGTCTTTCCGATGACGATCCACCCCGATGTTTCAGGACGGCCCCATGTCCTTCTCATGCATGAGAGGTAAGTCTGTTGCTTGCGCAACTCTATCCGAGATTTCCGAGGCCGACTAGAGTACAGGATCATCGAGCATATCAACAAACACGAGGGTGTGGAATGGGTGACGTTTGAGCAAATGTGCGATGAGTTTAAGAAAAACAACAGGCCACCAGAGGGTGCCAAAATGCCGGTTACTCCAGTTTTGGAGTAGAGCTGGTATCCGGCCGAAGCTCCTTTATGCTCGTAGTCCTATTAGGCATCCACAATAATGTGGCGTATCCCTAAGTCACGAGTCTGGGTTGACTGCTAGTGTATTCGGTACGCCGTGCTTGATTGAACGCATATGAATATCTAATTGGATTCAAATTGTAGAAACATAGAATGCCATATGAAGATTCTCGTGGATGCATAGTTCAAATGCACCAGTTCAGCTCGTTGCATTAAAGAAAGAGGTTTAGATTTCTCGTCCGTTGGAACGCCGTAACACCATGTACATGTCCTATGAAAATGCTTTTCGCGGATATCTAGGCCTTCGGAGGCTCAAACAGTTGGGGCTTCATGTTGATTTTGCCAAGCTTGGATACGCAGCCACTCAGTTGAAGGAGCGATTGCACACCGTCGAGAATGCGCATATGTGTGAATCCGATCTCCCTGATAAATTCCAGCTTAGAATGCTCTGACAAAGTCGGAATTGTCTTGGTGACTCGAAACATGGTGCTGATGATATCATGAGATGAGTAACCGAGATCCCTAAGAGTTATCAGTATATCGGTAACGAAGCAATAATCGAACGCATCATGCGCATACCATAACTCGTTCAGTGTTTCTAACGCAGCGTCGACCTTTCCTTCCCAGCATGCCTTGATCATAGCTTGGACCTTGATCGGATGTGGGCTATCGACCACACGAAAGACATTATCTCCACTGACCAGACCAAAACCTGACCATGTGCTCTGCAGGTTATTGATAGCCTGACGCATATCACCCTCAGCACTGAAAACCAAGGCAGCGATCCCATCTTCTGTGTGTTCCACCTTCTCAGCGTCGCATATCTGTTTCAATCGTTTCACCACCTGTGCGTCTGTCAATCGGGCGTAGCGCAGAATAGCGCACCGAGACTGAATGGGTTCAATGATCTTATTTGACTGGTTGCAAGCAAATGCGAATCGTGTTGTAGAAGAGTAGATTTCCATCGTCCGTCGTAATGCCTGCTGCGCGCCAGGGGTCATGCTATATATTGTCAGCGACTAGTCTCATATGTTCTAATCCTCAGAGAATCACACCTATCCGCTTCATCGAGAATGACAATCTTGTGACGGCCCGGTGGGAGCGTCACCTTCTTCTGGGCAAAACCTTTGATGCGACTCCTGACGACATCGATACCTAGCAAATCGTCAGACTGGACCTGAATGGGTTGACTCAAAGCGACATGCCTCGTTCATCACTAGCATTCAGTTCCAAGACCGCCTCCTTATAAGCCTCTCCTAGTAGTTGCCTCGCCAAGCACAGAATCGAGGTAGTCTTTCCTATACCAGGCATGCCCGAGATGATAACGTGGGGCATGTTGCCATCTTTGGCTATAATCTTCAGTCGCTCAATTGTTTCTGTATTGCCGACGATGTCATCGAGGAAGATGGGACGGTATTTCTCCACCCTAAAAAAGTCATTATTAGAATTGTCAAGTAGAACATCCTGATCTTGTTTACAAACCATGGTAGTTCATAATCGGGGGGAGCTCCCGCCGTAACAGCCTTGAGGCTATTTCGAGAAGCACTTGCTGAGGATTCTGCTTGCACCATTGCGAAGAGTTGAATGCAGGAATGGTGAGCTGTATTAGGAGTTCCTGCAGTTTTTTGTAATGCGAAGCAATAGGCAGGTTATCTGTTAAGCGTTCTGGTTTTCGGAAGACGCGAAGGTTGGATCCAGACGCGTCGGGATGGACCAAATTGGGCTTAATTGGGTTCTCCGGATCAATTCCGCCCTTTCATCTCCACCCGCTGCCACCACCATTGGCTGTTTATTGTTATGCCTCAGCATTCATTTATTGTTCTAGGATCATTCTTTTGTTACAGCCTCGACTAGCTTGAATTGCCTTGACACTCATTTCAGAGCCGCATCTAATTCAATCACGTCACATTACAAGCACCTATTCTTGGGCCAAAAAGTAGTCAACAAGCATCACAGTTTCTCCTCAGCTTCTGGCAGCACATCGGCCCTGCTAGGTGCTTTCTCAATCAACCTAAGACCTGTTCTTGCAGATCGCCCACCAGGATGGGCACAACCTCCGTCAGACGCAATCTCTTCCACCATAACCTCAGCAGACGTCCGGTCTCTGCTACGCCTGGGTCGATGCCAAGCGGCAAAAGCAATGGGATTTCGGGTCCTCCCTCTCACATGCTACAGTCCTCTTCCGAGTCAATGGGCCCCTCTCTGACTTCTGGTTCCTTGGACAACGGAGATATCGTGGTCAGGGACAAGAACGGTGGCTACAAGCTTGACATTCCTGTTCTTCCGCCTGCCATTACCAGTGAAAATGGCGACGGGATGGATGGTTTGGACGAGGGTGGAACTAGCGGGGGAGCAGGAACTACGGCTGTCGATTCAGCTAGCCAAACTGAGATCAGCGGGCGAGAAAAAGAAAGTACGTTGGCAGGCTAGAAAAACGATTGGTGGTCTGAATGAAGGAGCTGACGTGACTGGTCTGTCGAAGAGATCGAGGCAAGTCTAGCAGAATTGATGTATCGAAACCGAAACAGACAAATGAGCAACGAACCAGCCGGTAAGTGCATGCGAACAGTGGGTCCAACGTGGTCCTGTGTAATCCTCTGCTTTCTTACTGTTTGTATCAAAGCACTAATAATCGACAGAGATCCTCAATCTCATCCACCAAAGTCTCCGAAGTAGAGTAGCAACGCTCGAGGAAGACAACTGGATGTACGAACCAGAAGTAGATCCACGTGCCTAAAGCCAGCTTGCAGCATCCGGTCAAGCCAAGTACCACTGGATAATCACGCTTTAATTATCTATCTGGTATCTACCTGGTTTAGTATGTTCAAGATACATATATCACGCACGAAGTCGTGCCCTGGTTCACCTAATCGAGCTCCATGCTGGCCGGCGGCGCCTCCACAGTCTTCGACTGACTCCGTCCCTGGGGTGTCCTCCTACTTCCGCCCTGGTTCTGACCTCCGAACAGCATACTGCCCATCATGTCCAGAAGTGGGTTACCTTGTCTCGGAACTTTGATCGCGAAGTATTGCTCGCCTATCTGTGACAAAGCATCATCCCAGATCCCTACTTCTTGGATCTGCGATGCATAATGGGCAGTCAACTGCTTGAAAAGGTCTGCGCTGCCTCGCTGAATAGTGAGAAGCAGCATGCTTATGAAGTTCAGCAAAGGCAGAGACGGGAAAACTCGAACGTCGGAGCTGGCGCTGCTGACTTCTTGTACGCCGAGGGATGTATTTGAGGAAGAGAGCCGTGAGGTGAAGATAAGGAAGGCTTTATTAGCGTTCCGGAGGTTACCGACTAACAAGTAAGGAAAGACTGCACGCGAGGCGTAGATAGCCGCCGTATGGGGCTCGTCGTTCGTGTACCACTCGTACTCGAGCTTCGCGAGTGTCTCAGCGGATTCGGAGGTTCCAAGGATGAGATGCTTCTCGGCGTCATATGGCTCATTGTCTGGCAAATGGTCAATACGTTGTAGATTCACGGTCATATATGGCCAACGAACCTTCAGCATATACCGAACCAGCCGCATGGTGCAGCTCCGCATCTCCTCTCTCCACAGGACCGAACCGTCCGCTCCAGCCGATCATCTCCTGAATGAATCTCTTCCTCGTGGGCTCTTCCGACGGGAATTCACGAAGAAGCTCGATTAAGCGCTCTATATGGAGAAGCATCGTTAGCCGATTCGATCTCAGATCTCAGAAAGTCCACTATCCTTAGCCCACCAGCTAGCCGCTGGTTCCATGTAGATTCACTCGGAAAGCCTTTCCATCCATAAAGAGATAGCATTTAATGCTCAATCGACAGAATCAAACTCACTCTTTCGGGCTCGACCCTCCGCATCATCATCTCCTCCAGTAATCCCCCACCCCGCCTTGGTGTACACCTCATCTACCAACATAATAGCCAAGTCACCTCCACTTGCAGAAGCGCCCTGCTGAGATCCAGCTCTCAGAAGAGCAGTCGCACCGCCAGCCAATATTTCAGCAGCGGCCTCATAATTGGATTGTTTGATGTATCGCGCAGCGATGACACGGAGTTGTTGGTGAGCTTCGTAGTAAGCACCGGAGGCGATTCTGCAGATGAGAACCAACGTTAATATCCATTATCCTTTTCTTGGGAGCTTGGAAAATAGGACACCATTGTCGTATGTCAAAGCTCGGGGCAAACTTACTTCTCGCGCTGCCGAGCAATCGTCTTGTCAATGCGTGAGGTCATCTCGGAATGTGCCCACAAGTGACCGGGTATTGACGGGGGGAACCACAAATGAGGAGAGTTGCGTCGAGGGTGTAAAGAAGTTAAAATTTCCGATTTATTGTGAACAAACGATTTTGCAGGGAGATTCCAGCCTAGGTGGATAACAAAACAAGATCAGCGACAGCTGGGGGCGGACGAGCGTCGAGAACTTTTGGTGGGGAACTTCCCTGGTGTCTTCCAGAAACGCGGAGCTTCTCCAGATGCAGGCCCCTTGTTACTTCGGCGGAAAATATTCCAACCCAGCAAGTTTGACGTGCATCGATCAATCGAGGTGTAGTTGCTTCTCATTTGAGCATCTGTCAGCGCGTCTAGACGATCATATGTACTGACGTCTTGCTCTACCTAACAATCCGGATTGGTCGCAAGAAGCCTATATAGATGCCAGAGCTTCAAATAGCTTCCCCTGGGGCATCACTTGATTTTCTTTAACAATAGGCTCGATATAGGCCCGATACGCATCGAGCGAAGCAGTTATGGATGGAGGTGCATTTGACACCCAGCCAATTGGCCGCTTCTATGGCGCCAATACCACAATCCGACGTCCAAGGGTATGTCCTTTTCCGTGTTAATTCAAGATAAAAACTTGAAAATAACCCGAAAACAGGAGATCACTTGCTTCTCATATGATGATGAGCATAAGTTCCACCTCGGGGATTCGTCCCTGCGGTACTATTATACGCCGCGCCTCCCCGCGGATTTGAATCGTGGCTTCGACACTTTCCAGAAGCTAGATGATACCGCCGACGAGCATCTAGACGCTTTGCTAGAGACCATTATGGCTCTGGAAAAAGAGACTGGAAAGCGATGCGAAGCGGATATCATCACATGGAGAGGCATGATGACGAAGGTAAGTAGCTCAAGTCTCTTGTTTCATCTGGAAGGTGGCTATTACTGATACAGTCGCCTTGTTGTAGATTTTGACTGCTCCTTTTGACAATCTCAACGGGTATGTAGACAGGATATATGCACTGCCTTCATACTGATCTGAACATTAGTTTCGAAATGAATGCGACTTGTTTCCAGGTAGGCGGTGTCCAAGCTCGTTGATACGTGGTTTACGTTTTAACTGTGAAGATGCAGGGTACAATGTTTGTATATCCTTCTAAGGCTCCGCTAGTTCTGTGATGCTAATGAGGAGTAGTTTCATTGAGGAGAACAACGTCTATAAAAACCAGCAAAAAAAAATCCAGCAGAATCAAAGAATGCCCCCGGGAATGGCCTCCCAGGATCTGATGGCATACTGGGGTACGGTTACCGCTCCATGAACTGGTTTGACAAGAAGCTGAAATGCAAGCTCAGGCTACAAATTTGAAACCCTATGTTTGCTTCAGCAGCCATGGGATCCGACCCCTCGGGCCGAGATCGAAAGTCGCGAAGACCTCGTGGTCAACAACAATGCACAATACTGCTCTGTTGTTCGAACAGGCATAGGGAGTACTCGTTTAATTATTGGTGGTGAAGTTGATGCTGGTATGCTCTCCTCACTCTAGATGCATGCTTCTGGCGATTCTTAGGGGTCGTATTAAAGCCTGTGCTGATGCTGGTGTGCTAGTGTGGGACTGCAAACCCGACCGCAAGGAAGACCCCATCAATTGGGTAGAGCTGAAGACTTCGGCAGAGATCAGGAACGACCGTGACATGATCAAGTATGAGCGAAAGCTCCTAAAGTTCTGGGCACAGTCGTTCCTCCTTGGCGTCCCCAAGATTATTGTTGGTTTTCGCGACAATCACGGTATAGTCCATCGTTTGGAAGAGCTTGAAACGGCCAATATACCAAATAAGGTAAAGAAGCTTGGACGGGGTACGTGGGATGGCAACATTTGCATCAACTTCGCGGCTGCATTCCTCGAATGTAAGTCTCAAAATATGCACTGAAATGCCCCTTCTATGTCCCTTCAGCTAATGGGTTCAAAGGGCTCAAGTCAACAATCAAGGAGGGAGGAACGTGGCGAATCCGTAAGTCGGAGAAGTCGTCGCTTATTCAGGTGTTCAAGATTGAGGAGACTGGAACAGGCGACATCATCTCCAGGTCGTTTCTGGATTGGCGATCACGCTCATGATGAGGTGCAGTCGGCGCCTACAAACTGTTTAACTGCGGAAAACTTGCACTTCAATTATTTCGAAATGCAACAAACCACGGCAGGTGCGCGAATCTGTCTGCCGGTTCGACCAAAGCAATTAGAGTGGGCTCGCAGGATTCGGGTCAGGCTATGATGGAAGTAATGTACTGAGATGCCTGATACCGTGGTAAGCACTCAACGTGAGCAGCCTGGCCATAGCACTGGCTTTTGAAGCCGGTATCCTGGTCTTGAAGTCCTGTCATGCTGTTGCATTTGATGGGTGAACATTGCCAGGCCGGACAGATATAACACGATAACATCATGCTCGGGGATCGACGCGAAAAGATGACGATCATCGCCATCTCGTACCGAGCTGACAGGCTCTATTTGCCTACGCAAGTGTATCGGCAAGGTGATGAAGTGTCCCACCCTCGCATGTCCAGCTGCCATGATGCGGGAGACTTGAAACAATGGGCAAAGGGCGGTATTCAACCACAGTACGACTCGAACCACTATGTATAATTTCTCATAGAATGAATACTGGAAATCTAAGTTGAAGAGGGTTGCTCTGCCTGCCAGAGGAAAGCAGCCAATATGATTTTTTCGTGAGCCGAATACACGTCTATTTTCTACTGCGGCGTTGAAGGCTGCTCAGTAGGAGTTGGATCGTCACGATTTTGACCAACACCTAAGGTCTGCTGGTTGCGCAGATATTTTTCACGCTCTGCTCTTTTTGCTGCATTTTTGATTGCCCTCTTGTGGGCACGCCCGTTCAGGTGAATATTCCACTGGTCTTCGGTCGCCATCGTTCTACTACAGATCTCACATGTAAAAGTCTGAAGCAGGTCGCTGCGGTGCGTCTGCGCTTGAGCCTCCCGTGCGCCCAGCGTTTCTCTTGCCATGTCCGAGAGAGATTTAGGATCCGGTCTGGGTTCGTCGTTGAGCAGCGCCTGAGTCAGGCGCTCAGACGGTTCGGTAACACACCTCTGCCAGTCTTCAACGTTTGTACTGTCCAGAAGATACAAACTATTTGTCGCACTGGCGTCAGCGAGCGCCTTCCAAAGCTTGTTCCGTATCCATTTGATCTGGGATGTCGCATATTGACGTGTTGCGATTTTCACCAGCTCGATCGACGACTGTTTGAATGCTTCAAGCTCCCCTTCACTCAATTCACCGTTTTCCAGGGCGTCAAAGTAGGGTGCTAATTCCTTGAACCCGATGGAGACCCAGACTCCTCTTGTTTGATCAACAGTAACGCCTTGCCTTTTTTTCTCCCCAAGATAAGCCCACATTTTCTGGGCCTCTGCCATCAAGCCTTGCTCCACCATAGAATCTACACGTTTGGCAAGCCGGCAGTTCAATGTCTCCTTCTCTGAATGCACCCAGAATATCAGTGTCGGGTAACGGAGCTGTCCTATACCCGGGGAAGACTCTCCGTTTGTCTCCGTCGCATATTTCTGACGCTTCTGCTCCGCATAAATCTCGGAGGCCGGCTTGCCGGTCTGAAAGTAAATCTCCAAGGATCGTCGGATTTTGCGCACGTCGTTTGGATGCCATCGACTGGCGATAACGGGATCGACTTCCTTTAATTTTTGAAAGACCACCTCTGGCGGCGCATCAAGGATGGGCCACTTTGCGGAGGTAGGCTCAGTCTCCTCATGGAAATGTGCGTCGTCATCGTCGCCCGAGAAGAGGCTCTCCTCAACCAGCTGATCCTTAAAGAGTACCGTTTGTGTGTAGTAGTGCGTTCCTCCGACTAGAATGGGAAGCTTCCCTCGGGAGTGTATGTCCTTTATGAGTCGCAGGCATTCCCTTTTGAAATGCCCTATGCGCCACGGCTCTTCTTCAAAATCGACACAACTGATCAAGTGATGCGGGATGCCGTTCCGTTCCTCGAATGGTATTTGATTCGTGATGATGGGTAGGCCACGGTACATTTGCATAGCGTCGCCATTTATGATTTCACCGTTGAAACGGGTGGCTAAATCCACTGCAAGCTATCTACAGTCGTCAGCAGAAAGAACTTCTCCAATGAATCTTCTCTTTCCTGTCTTCCTCACCTTGGATTTGCCGGTGCCCGTGGCACCGACGACGGCAATGAGGGGCTCCATGATTAATGGGCGTTTGATGCGCCAGAAAGAGCGGAGAAAGTTGAGCATGGGAGAGCCACATGGAGGATTCTTGTCATTACCAGTTCATTTTCCCCTGGCTATAAGGTACAAAGCAGATGCTTTAGCGTCCAAAGGCGTTGTAGTCTCAAACAAGCACGAAAAAAAAAAAAAAAAGTGCGCGCAAATATATACATGCCGACATTACCTCATCGGTCTCCGCTTCAACATGAGATTCGGCTTCTCATACTCAGGTACTTGACATATACCAATATAGCTCAATTGTGATGGACTTTACGAGAAGCTGACGACTCTATCCAACCAATCCTCTTCAATGGTCAGTCAGTGTTAATATTCGAGAAATACTCAGAAAGGATGGGAATTCACTCACTATATAAGTCTTTGTGCGGCAATACCTAGCACATACGACCACAGGGTGTGGAAAACAGGGCTTCCCGTCCGCTCAGCCGTACTTAAGCCACACGCCGGCCGGTTAGTAGTTGGGTGGGTGACCACCAGCGAATCCCGGCTGTTGTATGTTTTTGCTTTAATTTTTTTTTTTGACTTTTTATTAATTTTGCTTCTTTTAATATGTGTCGCTTGCCGCTTTATCCCGAGTCACAGTCAAAGAATATATACATTATCGGTTGATAGAGATCCTTCAACTACTCCGAGAGTCCAGCGCGACTCAAAGTCAAACTTCATTTCCAGACAGAATGGCGTAAGTAGTCACATGACATGCATCGTCCTCCCACCGATGACCTGCCTCACGGACTAGTGGCAATCGAGTCATAAGCACGTTTCTAGTGCAAGTCCTATTTACAATCTGTTGTGGTCACTCTCCTATTCAGAATTAACAAGCGAATAGTTTTATGAACCCCTTGCCATTTAGAAGTAGTAAGTGTTCTTCATATCAGGATATCACTGCCTTAACCACCGCCGTAGTTCCTCGTCGTCCAGACATGGCAGACTCAGACAATCAAACGGGTCCTTCAATCAGTGTGAATGGCCTGAATTATAAGTTCCAGGATGGTTCCTCAGGCTTGACGAACGTGTCTCTCAGTCTCCCGGCAGGGAGCCGGACATTGCTCATTGGAGGTGATTTGGTCCCCAGCCTAGACGAGTCATGACCGATTGTTAACGCCATTCCAGCAAATGGTGCCGGCAAGACCACTCTCCTGCGCTTGCTGGCAGGCAAGCGCTTGGCCCCAACAGACACAATTTCTGTTTCTGGCAGGGACCCCTTCAAGCACGGCCTCGAAGGGGTGACTTACCTAGGTGTCGAGTGGGTTCTGAACAGCATTGTCCGGACGGACATCGACGTCCCGACGCTTCTCGCATCTGTGGGCGGAGACGCCTATCCCGAGCGCAGGGATGAGCTAGTTGAGATTCTCGACATTGACCTCCGGTGGCGTATGCACGCCGTGTCGGACGGTGAGCGCCGCCGTGTGCAGCTGGCGATGGGTCTGCTGCGCCCTTGGCAGGTGCTTCTGCTGGATGAGATCACTGTGGACCTCGACTTGCTTTCTAGGAGTAACTTCCTTTCCTTCCTCAAGCGGGAAACAGAGACAAGACCCTGCACGATTGTCTATGCCACACACATCCTGGATAATCTCTCGCAGTGGCCCACCCATCTCGTGCATATGCACCTCGGAAACGTCAGGCAACGGGGCCCCATGGAAAAGTTCAAGAGTGAGGTCACTGAGACATCAGAGAACAGTCAACTCGGTGAGCTTGTGCTCAAGTGGCTCAAGGAGGACCTGTCGGCCAGAGGACCGAGGAACGGGCAATCCAGCCAGAGCAAGACCTACGGGTCACTGGATGGACTTGGGGGATATGGGCTGGAGAAGCCAACCTGATCAGCTTCTCTCTTCATCCGGGGAATTGATTCTCTGGTTTTCTCATTTTCTGGAATACTACGTTCTCTTCAACAAACATTCTGTTCAACCACAATAGCATGGCGGCGGTTTACGGCTTGGTTTATGGACAATAAAGGTCAGGAGGCATCATTCAACATTTTAGAGCTATTCAACACCCATGACATGAGCTCATAATTGCGTTTTTTGTACGTTCGTTGTGTATATACATGGCATTTCACGAAAGCATGTCAGAAATAGCATATACGCGCACCGAGGAATCCTCACTTGCTACAGCAAGCTTAAATCTGCTCTGAGTATCTCTAACATCTGTCTGATGGGACGGCCGCCATGATAATTGGGTGATCGCTCTAGAGGGGGATACCGACCTATCAACAGTAGCAACGTGCCTCGCTTCGAGACCGTCAACCGTCACCTGGTAGATCGATAATTTTCCACTTTCTTCTCCCGTTGCAAGGAAGAAGGAAGCGTCAAGTACACTTGGAAGGATCGAAACAGCCGTGACTGAGTTTTCTAGAGAGATAGTCGTCTTGCAAGCGAACGAGTCCTCGACCTTCTCCCATAGTTTTACTGATTTGTCTCGGCCAGCCGTCGCGAAGACAGGGTTTGCCGCTTGGGGAGCCCATGCCGCATCTAGAATCATTCTAGAATGGCCCTTGGGATTCGATGTCAGAAGCGAGAATGAAGAAGGGTCCTGCCCACTTCGTAGGAAGACAGCCCACTGCCGGTCTCGCCCAACACTGAGAAGGTATTGGTCATCACTCGAAAAACACAGACTTGTGATAGTCAAAGAATGCGCTTTCAGGGAAGGCCGAATCTCACGCCAGTCAGAAGTGTCGTACAGCCGTATCACCGCATGATCTATTGAGCTTGCTTTACAAGCAGTCGCAACCAGGGTGCGATCATGATTCACGGCCACGGTTGATATCTCATAACCGTGACCATAGAGCTTCTCATGCTCGGGCCATAGTGTATAGCGAGCCAACTGGTCTTCTAGTGGTGGATGCCACAGGTT